CTAATAAATCCTGGTTTTTCGCTTATCACTTGAAACACCTCCATTGTCAGTATTTTTTGTTGAAAAGATTTCAAAAAAGGAAAGCAAAGTAATATTTGTTTGAAAGTAAAACTGAAATTTCAAAACCAAACAACAGAAATCTCTTCTAAGATCCTTTAGACAATGCTTTTTTGTTTACAGGTAGCTCCTCAAAGCCGAGCTTTTGAGAAAAATTTTGTTTCCCATATTCAAGATATTTAAACAAAAACAGAATAAAAAACTAGCTGTCGATTTGATTGAATAGCTGAGATGGTACATTACAGGTATGAATACAATGGATAATAGATATTGAATAACATAGACAATTACATTATCAATCAGTAGTATTTTTGAAAAGCATATTGATGTGCATTGATAAAGTGTTCTAAGTAATGAGTATTGGAACGTCTATTTCTCAATTCGATCAATTGATTGAAGTGTAACTTTTCTAACAAGATTCGTGGAAACACAGATTATAATAAACTGTAATTATATTCAAGGATAAACGTATCGCGGTCAATTTTAGAAGTAAGGACCCGCTTTTTTACGAATCATTGATATCTCGATAATAGATATTCAGAGCGTCTTCGTATCGAATGTCTCAGTTCCAAGGAGATTCTTAAGTTATATAATTTCCTAAACAGTTTGATCTCTAGATCAATTGGTTTATATAGTTTCATAGTTTCGAATAAATAATGTTCATAAAAAATTGCCGTGTTTTACCATATATTCGTAAGGTTTGATGAAATCAGCATAACACATATAACACCCACTATGTGATGAAGTTATACATATATTAGATATATTCAGGAAGATTGATATTTACATTCAAAAAATATTTTTGACAAGATTAGTTTTGATAGAACGCTTGTACGGATTTTTTTTCCTTTTTTCCCCTTGGTCTTATAAACTTCCAGGAGAAGGACAACGATATTACATATATGGTCCTGCTGAAAAAAAGAGTGAGGAAATCAGATTATCGACATAATTTTAACCGATGCGGATCTACTATTCAAAAGTCTTTTGCGTAGCAGTTGCTTTCAGTCACAAAATATCCTATACTTATAGAGATATGTAATGTTTCTGTCTGAGCTAGAAAAAATTAATCAAGTATCTGTCAATTTTCAAGACTATCAAGTCATATCTGAAATTGCAGTAGAAACTGCCTTTTTGCTATAAAATTTATAATCTACAACGATAAACCTTATTGTTATAGAAAAATACTTAATCTATCTTTAGTGGTCATGTGTTAAAAATAAAAGATTTTCTAAGAAAATGATAGTGATGCTATCTTCAAAGAAATCACTTAGAAATCATTCTTACTAAGAAGAAAAGTTTTTCAAGATGCTAACCACCTTGGAACAATGGAATCTTTTAAATAAGGAAATTGAAGCAAAAATAAATGTTTTTGAAATTTATCGATGAATATTGATTTTGTATGAAGGTAATAACACATCACAAACGATATGGTATAAAGATTATAGTAGATGTCTCGAATAATAGCTGTTCCGTTCAGGACGAATATATAAAATGTAATAACAAATTTCTAATACCGGAGTATATACGTAAATTTTAAAAAATTACATTTTAGTTCGTGACTCTTTTGAAATAGTTGTTTGGAAATAAGAAAAGCAATACAAATTATTCTGTAATATAAAGTTTAGTTAAGATAACAAATAAAGTGAAATTTCTATGATTTTTTACTTTTTTTAAAATATTGCTCACCACACGTGGCAATCAAATATAGAATATTTTTCTTACTATCATTCTCGTTTCTCAAGCATTGTTAAATATATATAAAGTGCGCCATTATTATTGATTAATTTATTTAAAAGAAGCGCGAGCAGTATAAGCATTTAAAAGTTGAATTTTCCATCAAATTATTTTTTTTCTGCTATTACAATTTTCAAAATCTTAAAAATAAAACAATTTGATTGACCTTGTATTCAATTCATGTGAGTTATATGATTATTTACTTCCATTAGACTCATGATCACATTCTTTACATAAGTATTTCTTTGATTTCGATGAAGAAAGAATAAACTATAGACATTCGAGCTCCATCTTAAATACCAGAGATAGGTTGGTAACAATTTTAGAACACCGTTTCACCAGCAGATCTTCATTTTCTGGATGAAAAAGAAACTGAATAAAAACCTTTACAAACATTAGGATAACTATTTGCTTGAATATCCTAACGTTAGATATGAAAAATAAACCTTTAACCTTAGATCTCGAATTTGAGAAATAAAATCTTTACTATCATTAGGATAACTATTTGCTTGAATATCATAACGTTGGATATGAAAAATAAATGTTTAAGCTGAGGTCTTAAATTTGAGCAATAAATTATTTGCTAACATTAGGATAACTTCTAGAAAGTATAAAACAAGTGTTGTCTCTGTCTTTACAGATCTTCTGTGGTGATCATAAATCTAAGAAGAAAATAATCATATACTTATTTGTAAAAAATATCTATTCAAAAAAATCATTTTAAACATGAAGAAAAAATATGTTTATATATTTACAAATACTTGTTTACTTTAAATATAACTTACATGAAAAAGTACCTGAAATGAGACTAAGCCCAAAAAAGTACACAACAAGCGACAAAAAATATGCATCAATTTCATATGAAGAGAAAAGGTTAAACAAAATAAAGAAAAAACGAACCGCAAAAAGCTGTATTTCAAAGTTTGTCGTCATCATCATCATCTTCTTGATTCAATAATGACGATGGTTGAACTGTTGTCGAAGTTCCTCGTTTTGATACTGTAATGGATGATCTAGTTGAGGAATTTTTCTTGTTGACGTCGTGCTTCATTTGTTGTAAAGAGTTTTTGATTGATTGACTGTCTGCAAAGACTGATGCAACATTCAATTGATGAATTCGAGCAAGAAAAGCTGAAAATATAGATTTGAAATACTAAAATAATCATTGATTTTTTTTATTAATCTTACTCAAAATGAGATCAAATTCACCTGAAGCTAAATCATTGAATGATGCTATTTCACCATATGCAGTACGAACTAAACATCTAACTGTCGCATTCAATGAAGAACAACGTGAAATATGACTTAAATTGATTCCATTTAATTGCTATAAACAGAAAAAGAGATGATAATAGTTCAACAAATTTCCACTTACCATTATTAAATCATCATCATCATTTCGTTGTTGTGTTTGTAAAACTTTGGCTTGCTGAAACGATAAAAAAGTAGAAAAAGATGTACCAACTTATAATCTCTGCCCAGGCAGACAAACTTTTGAGAAAACGCGCGTGCACACCGCAAAATTGACTTTTCGAAGCGTTTACACGCGTCAGACAAAAGATGGACGTGTAATCACCCAGAATTCTGAAATTTTACTGGTGAAAACGTTTAGTTTTTTTCTGTTGAATATTCGTAGACGTTTAAACACCTCGGAAGCTGACTTTATTGCCGTGTAAACACTAAATGGTCCTGAAAACACATTTTACGCATCAAAAAGTTGATTTTTTTGCACGCTTTCCACAACATTTTTATCATTCGAGTCTCTGTGATAATTACTAAACATGTTCAGGCCTCAAAGTTAGGCGAACTGGGCGTTATCTTCGCCACATATTTTGTTAGATTAACGATTCCGAAAATTCAAGTGTTTAAACAATGGTCCTTCAATATTTCAACATAGTGAAGCAGCAAATATTTCAGACATCTTTTTAACAGTAGATTGTAACCGTTTAGACAGCTAGTTTCATCGACTTCGAGGAATTTTTAGATATGAGTTTTTTCAAACTTCCATAGTTCAAAATTCCAAACGTTTAAACGCTTGATATTAAGGGGGGGCCTCCCCCTCAGAAACGAACTTTGTTATTTTCTCATCCGATTTCAACCAAAATTTCAGAGAATGTTAGTCTTGGTTAGAATAGATTATGGTTAAAATATCTCCCCGAAATCTCAAACTTATATACAAGTTCTAGTGAATTCATTACCCGTTACGCGGGCAAGGATTTCACAATGGGGTTACTATGTAATCATGTCGGGCTGGTTTTTAAATTGTAGAGTGACCTTAGGGCTAGATCCTCACGATCTCCGATTTTTAAATTTCCCTTTATTTGATCAAACTGAAATATCTTAGTTTTTTATTTCAATAAAAGAGAAATTCAAAAATCGGAGATCGTGAGGATCTAGCCCTAACTGTCCTCTATTCAACAAAAAAAAATTATCCCTTCTCTATTGAGTCAGTATTAAGAAATCCTTCCCCGCCTAAACGGTAAACTCGAAAAAATTGATTTTGAGAAAAACGAAAAATAAGTATTAGAAGTCGATTTTTCCGAAAATCACCTGATTTATATATTAATGTTCAAGACAGGCTATAAATGTGTGATCTTAATATTAAGTGTTGATAGTCTCTTAGTGATTAGTATATAAAAAAACTTTACGAAATGATGATGCAAAGAGAAAGCAGCCTAAAAAGTCGAAAAACCTTGAAAAAACACCATGAAAATTTCTCGAAAAATATGATAGTAGGAGCAAAGTTTTAGACGATAAGTTCGTCAAAGTCAATTCATTTTTCGATAAAACATAGATATTCTGAAAGAGGAGACTTCAGTGCATCTTCCTATGATAAAACTTCAATTTCGACTCATCTCCGAAAAATTGGATTTTCTGAGGGGAGGCCCCCCTTAATAACTTCAACAAGTTTTGATGCATGAATTTTTTCATATCTGCATGATCCAAAGTTCTGAACGTTTAAACGGCTGATATCATCAACTCCGAGGAGTTTCAATGTACTAATTTATTCATATATGCACGGTTCAAAATTCTGAACGCTTAAACGGCTTATATCAACAACTTCTAGAAGTTTCGATGTACCACTTTTTTTATATATGCATGTTTCAAAATTCTAACCGTTTAAACGCTTGATAGCAGTAACCTTCAGGTGTTTGAATACGTGAATTTTTTCATATCTGCATGGTTCAAAATCCTAATCGTTTAAACATCTGATATCAATAAGTTCTAGGGGTTTCGATAAATTACATTTCTTATATCTACATGCTAAGAGTTTCTGGACGTTTAAACGGTTGATATAATGAACTCCTAGGAGTTTTGATGCACAAATTTTCGCATATCTGCATGGCTCAAATCTCTAAACGGTTAAACGGATGATATGACCAACTTGTAGGAGTTTCGATAAATTTTTTTTTAATGTCTGCTCGCTTGAGATTCCTGGACGCTGCAACGGCTTGTGTCATCAACTTCTAAGAGTTTCGATGTATAATTATTTTTTTGTATCTACTTGCTTCGAATTTCTGGACGCGGAAACGGCTGATGTGAATAACTTTTAGGAGTTTCGATATATTGTTTTTCTTATATCTGCATGCTTCAAAATTCTAAATTTTTAAACCGCTGAAATCATTAAGTTTAAGGAATGCTGATATATAAATTTTCTTACATCTACATAGTGTAAAATTCTAAACGTTTAAATGGTTGATATCTTGAAATTCTAAGAGTTCCTACGCACGAAGTTTTTCATATCTACATGGTTGAAAATTCTGGACTTTTAAATGCTTGATTTCATCCATTTCGAATCATTTTCATGGGTTCCTTTTCATTTGTAATTTCATGAAACTTTTCGCTGTTTCAGTCACATGTTACAAAGAATCGTAGGCGTTTCTTGGAATGAAATTCTTAGTATTTTTTTTATTTTTCTCGTTTTCAGGAGAGTTTTTATCTGTGTTGCAGACATTGTGGTCGGTACTTTGTATCGCGTTGAGCGTTTGCAGCGTGCTGGGTGGTGCGGGTGTGTGAGTTTGGGTGCGGGTGGGTGGGTGTGTGGGTGTGGGTGTGTGGGTGTGGGTGTGGGTGTGTGGGTGTGGGTGTGTGGGTGTGGGTGTGTGGGTGTGGGTGTGTGGGTGTGGGTGTGTGGGTGTGTGGATGCGGGTGTGGGTGGGTGTGGTTGTGGGAGTATGGGTGCGGGTGTGCGTGTGGGTGTAGATGTTGATGAAACAAAAAGATTCCCACAACCACACCAAACCCACACCTCTAAAAGGTCGATTTATAACTCCTAAATCACAAATTCTACAACAGGCTTTGAATCAATATTCAGAAAGAGTACAAAATTCTGATTTTGACCCAAGGTTTTCAAATTTCAATACTCTTTTCACAGACTGAAAAATGAACGAATATTTTCTATAATTACTTTTCGATCACCACGGTTATTTGATATCTCAGTAATCGAATCTATTTTCTTGTACTGGTATTCTCGTATCTGTTACATTTACGAATGAAGAAGAAAATAAGCATAAGTATTTTATAAAAATATGCAAAAAACAAAAATGACAAATCAGAAATGAAATGTAAACTACCTAGAACTTCATTCTTGCGATGATGGTATCATGACTATATACTTCTGATGACAAAATTCTCTTTGACAATTCTTGATCATCTAAAAAAAGTAATTATGAAATTTTGTAAAAGCTCGAACGACCGACTATTCAATTATTCGTTTCGACACCAATAAGGCGATTTCTAAGTCTAATGTGTTTGTCATTTTATAAAGATCTTGTATGATGGAACCTTAGCTGACAATGAATATTCGAAACAGTCAGAGGGTAGATATAGGAGCCCGTTTTTATGAATTAAAAGCATTTTTACTATCAAGAAAATGACTTAAAAGATTTTTGCCTCTAGCTGTGGCAGTCATTTTTTTTCTTTTTGCATTTTTTATCGATTCATGTTGTCACTAAAATCGAACCTGTCAAAACTGAAAATCAGAAGGTATCAGAAGAAAATATTAAAGGCTAACTTCTGCAATTAGGAGATTTTTCATCAAGAGAAAATTCAAAAACTCAGTAGTCTTCTGGTCAAATTCGAAGATTTCATAGACCTGATGATGGCGTAAGAAGAAATAACAATATGAATAGATCACCAAGGAGACACTATTTTTTTCGTTCTCTTTCTTTTTTTGTCAATGAAATAATAATGATAACAAGCGATCGTTCGATATATGCGGTTTGGCGAAAGACACAATGTCAACCAATACATGGGTTACTATAGCTTTTCTTTTCACCCACTGGAAGTAAATATATGTGTTCACTATTTCATATCTTATACTTTCGATTTTGCTCTGCACAATATTAATCTAGAGCTTTTTTAAACCAAAGAAGTGTGAAATAATTAGCATTGCAATCTTTCCGCTATATTCATGTCTATTCCGAAATTATTACTGCTAATTTATGCCGGAAATAAAATATATGGTTATGCGAAAAAAAATCCATATTTTTGAAGAATTTGAATGAAAACTGAGCGTTTTGAGGTTGTTGAAGTATATCTGAGTTGATCTCTAAAAGTTCAGCTTTTTTCTCCTTGATTTTTTTACACATATCCATAATCAGAATAGACATGTGCTTTATTTCCAAACATCATTCATCGTGTCAGATTTATTCCATGCAAAAATATATTGTCAATAATAAAAGATCTTTAACAAAATATGGACAAAAGCCAAATTTACTATGTAGAGAGACTTTTGTTTACAGTGGGATCTTGTTGATTGACTTGTTTGACCCACATTTTCTCAGTGAAAAAGTTTACTGTTTAAAACTGATTAAAATTTCAAAATCCTATAGCCATAATTCACGTTATCGCTCGGATTATTCTGCAATTAAATCAAAATTAAAATCGACTAAAATCAGAAATCTTCAATCGATTTTAATTAGCTATATATAATTACAATTCTAATTGATTACCATCTGATTTTAATCAATCGAAAAGATCTCATCTTAACTCATTTTAAGGGTGTGGTTTCATAGAATATGAGTTTCACGGACTTTTCGGACAACCAGATAATTGTGCATCATACAGATTATAGTTTTGTTCAAAATTTATAAGAATGATTTGTAAACTGATTATAATTAATTACAAAAGTCGATTTTAACTAAATATAATTTTGATTTTGTGCCATAACATTTTGATTGATAATATCAGAAGAGAAATATTCCAAGTGATAAACAGCTTTTAAAATGAGATTTTTGTTATTAGGTAGAGTCTATCGAGATAAAACATAGGGTGTAGCATGTGGGCGTAGATGTTTAGTTCATCTACACCCCGTACCCTTCTTGAACGTTAATATTCGGTGACCAATAACGAAAATGTTAATCTGGTTGACAAATCTCCTTGCCTGTTCCTTCTTACAAAAAAAAGTTAGCAAAAAATAGATATATATATGTGTGTGTGTAAAAAAAAAAAAGAAAGATGAAGAAGTGATAAGCGAAAGAACTATAGAGACAAAAACTAGAAACAACGAGATAACGAAGAAGATAACGCCAGTACCTAACAAAAAATTAAAAAACAAGAAAAAATCAACCTCAAAATCTTATACTACTAATAATGATTGCTAAATTCAAAGTCTCCGCCATCGATCGCGTACAGTCAAGTTTCTTAGACATCATGATCAATCGTATTTCTTACTATCAGCCGGAGTTACTATTATTGCTACCTAGGAACTGTTTCCTCAAATAGATGGACGCTACGAATTGATTTCGAGTATTTGTATTTGCATCAAATTGCAGTGAGTGACATTTTCTTTGAATGATTCGATTGTGTTTGGCCGAATATTCTCGAAAGAAAGAGGTAAATGTTGTTTTCTCGTTTAATGAATCCTGATCAATCATATCGAGAGTTCTGTGCCATATTTAAACGTTAAGTTGAAATTAATCGTTGCATTGAAATGTAATTAGAAACTTGAAGAGAAGACTCACATCGAAATCCACACTCACGTCTATAACCAAACGCACATTCCACACCCACACCCTCAATAACTTCTCAATGTTTGATCAAGATTCTTTTTAAAATATTCGTATCAGCAGAGTTTAACAGATGGTATGATTAGAACACACCATGTTAAGTGATAACGTAAAAACAGTTTGACAAATCAAATAGAGATGACAATATTGATAAAAATACTTTGTGTTCTGCATTTTCTCGTACGTGCCGCTTCGCTTTCTACCGTTGTCATTATTTACTGAATATGTCAAAAGAAACATTCAAGCAACAACGCTACTACTTTGTTCATATTTACGTGACTATTCTGCATCATAAATAGAGTCGTAACAATTATTAGAGACTTATCATCAATAGATAGTAGAGTATGAGATTCATTGTCCCATATATGCAAAGCATACTCGACACCCTCCATCATCAGTTCCAAATATTATCAGACTGTAACTGTTCGTCGACATCAAATTCGAGAGAAAGTCTTTTCGTTTGGTGATCATTTTCAAATTAAAGATGAATTTGGTCGAGATGTATTCACTGTTCGATCTAAAAATTTTTTATTGGGCAATAAAGTTGCTCTTGAAGACATGGTTGGAAAGTAAGTAATCAAAAGTTCTTTTACTCATTAGAATAGATCATATCGTTAGTAAACAAAAGAATCCAACATTTTATGCATAGACACTAGTATACTGTGAACAGGAAAAAATATTCCTTTTGAAACATTCTATAAAGAATGCAATAGATTCACTACTTATTATTCATTTCAATGTCGGTGTCCTCGACTGTTCTTTGAATAACTTTTGATAGGAACATCATGAAGATCTGTGATTTTCACCATGCAACTGAGGAGACCTAGAGTAATCGAAATATATCAAAATCGGATTAATTATTAATTGATCAATGAGATGTGCTATGAGTGGAACTTTTTGAAAACAATATTCTGAAGATACTTCTTCGTCGATCTATGCAATCGTGCTGAGTTGAATGGTGATATTTGTTGTTACGTTCGAACTTCTCTGGCATTGTAATCTCGATATTTCTGCAATGCCAACGCCTTCGTTAACTGGAGTTGCTTAGGTTGAAAGAGAAATAGCTTTAGAACATCGTTTTCGAAAATCTCTAGCAAGAATTCACCTGATCAATCAATCGATAATCAATTAAATGTTAATATACTTCGACGACCCAAGTCTTCTCTGTTGAATAGTGAAAACCGCGAAGTACATTATATTTTGAAAGTAATAGTAACTATCAATATGATACTCGATTCTATTTGCGAATATGCACCTCTAGTTTGTTCAAAGACAAAAAACGCTACTGAAATTTCAAAGAGATGGTATTTTTGATGATGAAATAATGTTGTTATAGTTAATGTGAGAATAAAATTTTATTTTCATTGTTTTATTTATAGCGGCTTACTTAAAATTCATCAAGAATTATTGCATTTTCATCCTACACTTAATATATTATCAGCTCGTGATAGTGATTCCGATCGACCATTAGCAACTATTAAAAAGAAATTTTCATTTTTTTGTCAAAAATTTGATATTCAATCTGTCGATGGTCAATATGCTATCGAAGGACTTGACATCTTCGCTCATTCATTTGTATTAACAAAACAAGGACAAGCAGTAGCAACTATAAGCAAAGCATTCTTTTCTTTAACTGATACTTCTGGTGTTGAAATAGCAGCAAATGAAGATCAAACATTTATTTTAGCACTTGTTATTGTTATTGATCAAGTTCTGTATGATGGAAATGGAAACAATCATTGATTTAACATTGGCTTTTTAGGACTTCCTGTTTTTTTTTCATTAGTTTTTGTTTTACTATATCTGATATTTGACGTTGATTGAGTTTGTATTTTTTTCTTTAACAGTCAAATATTAATCATTGCTGAATAAGAAGAAGTATTTATGTATTTCAAGCCAAATCATACAAAAAGCAATGCATTTCATTAATACTCACTCACATTCGAAATAGATTGAATTAGACTACAGTTCGTTTAGTATTCGTCGTCGTTGTTGTTTTTTTTTATTGTGAGAAAGAAAACATAACATCAGAAGAATTATGTTCTTTGAATCAGTTTTACTTTTTAGCGTCATTTTAACAATTTTCAATTTTATCATTCCTACTTGTAAAAAAAAATCTATGAAATATCTTTTCTAACTGCTCACTTTGAAAATTTTTCTTATCTGTTCTGAGACTTGAAGTCTTTCATTATTACGGTTTCAAACGTGTTCTATCATTCAATTCAAAAACAAATAGAGAAATACAATCGTAGCAAATATCATAATGTACAATGAATATTGAAATTCCGTATTAGGACGGAATTTCTTATGCATTTCTCAGTCACCCAAACTGCATTTACCTCTTTGGTCATAGCTCAGTTTAGGTGTAAACTATATTATTCCATCACTCTAGTATTGTCTACTTCATATAGAACACAGACACAAATAGAAGAAAGAGAAGTAAAGCTATATGAGAATCAGTCCATATATGAATTTATTTTCAAAAAATGGCTTTTAAAACATTCACAAATATTCCTGGCAACAATTTATTGTAAGCGTTCTTTTGTTTATTTCTAATAGACTAATATCATGATTCATTATTAATTGTAAAGAAATTCTTTTTATCCACATAAAGGTTATATTGAATATACTATTTACTATTGAACATATGAAGATACGCTTTTGACAGAAAAGTTAGATTTAAACAGCACAAGAAAAATAGCTAATAAAAATGTGTAGCCCGTAGCCAAAACAACACCATCATGTTTTATTTTGATCTTAGAAGGGTTATATTAAAAGCTTTTTGACTTTGATCTTAATTTGTTTCTAATATTTTGTCATTTATACGATTCTCTGAAAGGTTAGATGTCGCTTGAAATCAAGACCCTAATTATGCCGTTTTCCATCTGCGATCTGAAATCGATCGATCAAATCCTTTTTTAAAGATAATAGATTTTTTTTCTTGTAACTTACTCATAAATATTTAGTGTTTTAATGTACATAGGGTATGCAGATGTTTTTCTTTATATTTTACTTTGATATAAATGAAGATAGAATATACTACACAGATTGTATGTTATATCACATTTTATTTCTTTCTTTGCTTTGTCTATGTGTTCATCGAGGTCTTGTTGTTTTTTCATTGTATCTTCTATCTATTGTCGTTTTCTTAATGTAATTTTAACTATAATAACCACACTAAATCAAATTTGTTGTCATTATACAATCGATAATAATTACTTGATATGAACAAAAATGAAAAAAATAGAAATAAAACATGTACATCGCACGTTATTATTTTAGATAAAATATTAAAAGTTTTTGTTTTGATATAAGACGAAGTAATGGGCGAGTAAGTGTAAACAAACAATTTTCAATTCTATTAAATATTCTTCGTGATCGATTTTAGTCGTCAAGTATTTATTGGAAATCTATGTAATGTATCAAATGAAGCACTACGTACATATTGTGAAACATACGGTCCATTAACGGAGTTATCATTAAATCGTGATAAAGAGAATAATGTTAATCATCTTTTTTTTTTTACTTATAACCTAGTGTTTTTTTTTTTTGTTAATATTTTTAAGGTTTATCATTGTTTTGCTTTTGTTACCTTTCAATATACTCGTAGTACATCACAATTTATGTCTAGTCGACCACATTTTATTTGTGATGAAGAAATATTTGTTAAACGAGCATTACCACGTGCAACTTCATCCGTGCCTGAACGAATTATTGTTACTAATCGATTGATTCTACAAGATTTACATAAATACGACAAACATCTTGTTCGAAATTATTTTCATAAATTTGGTTATATAAAAAAAATTGATATTAAGTATGGTTTTATTGATTATGAGGTTAGTCTTCCATCTTATTCACATAAAAAAAGAAAACTGGAAAATATTAAATATGTTAGGATTATGATGCTGTTGATCGTGTTTTAATTGCTCGACCACATTATATTCGAGATCAAGAAATATTTGTAACTAAATTTGTTCCATCTGAACAACAAGATAGTATAGATAATTATTATTTACGTTCAAATAATTATCGCCATCATCGATTAAATACAAATAATAATCGCCGATATTCAAATAAAAGTGAACAACATGATCATATTATGAAAACATCAACCGATACAATCAAGTTTACATGTACTAAAAAAATCGAAAAGGATACATCCGAAATTGTAAATGAATTTTCTATTGAATTGTCTTTTTATATGAGTTTGATATTTTTATATGAATTAGGCATTGATCAATAAGCAATGTAATCATGATGATAATGATGATGATGATGATGAAGAAGAAGGAGGAGGAGGTGAAGAAATAAATTTTAATCAATTAAATATTCAATATGAACATCTTGAAGAAGAATTTGAAGAATATAAAAAAACAAAAGAGATTGAAATATGTGCCTTAAGAATTGATTTAGAACGTACAAAACGTCAATTAGCTGATATAACGCAAGAAAAACTTGATATTTTATTAAAAAATCAAACATTATTTCATAATGAATTAATACTTCGTCTATCTTCAAATGATACCGCAATTCATTCACAAACAGCTGAAGATTTTTTTCATTCATCTCCAAATCAATTAACAAAAAAACGTAAATTAGCAACATCACCGCCATCATCAGCTCATCGCGAATATGAATATTATTCATAAGAAAAACAAATAATTATTGATTATTAGTAGCTGATTTTACTTGTACTTTATTTTTTGTTTATATATATTCAAAGTTTTGTTTTGATTGTGATTGCACGCATATATTTATACATGTAGTATACCTATTTATCTTTGTATTTTCTTCTTTTTTTTGTTTTACTTGAAAGAACTTTTGTGATCAACTTGATATTTGTTTTCTAACTATATTTGTCTCTTACGAAGCAGCATACTAAACTATCAAACTTCATTCGACCTCATATTACGGCCAAGGTTGCCGATAACTTATAAGGATGACTAAAACTTCAGCATAGTATCCGAAAATTCTCCCAAAAAGTGCTTTCACCTTCGGAGTGTTAGAAATGGTGATTGGACTGAAGAGAGGTAAAAAGAACGAAATTCACTGCAACCCGACCATCTCTTTCCATTCTCTGCTTCTGTCTATTTCACTTTCTGCTAGAGAAAGATTTTCTTGAAATTCTCAGGAATTTTGAATTTGTCGACAATGCCTTGTGCTCAGTAAAAATTTCATTGAAACGTTCATAACTCTTTATTATTAGGTAATGGGCTCGAGTCTTTCTAAACTTATCTTAGTTTCATCGAGATCTACTCGTAGTCATAATATGAAGCCGAATGGTGTTCTACGGTTGAGTATATTCTCTCGGTAGTTAGCACTAAGTCATAAAAGTTCAAGTATGCATCTGATAAGGTGAATTAATTAACACTTTTACATATTCATTCTAAAAAAATAAGAAGTTTTCGTCCTTGAAAATTTCTAATATAGCAACAAAGCTAAGTACCTTTAGGGTGTTACGCAACTTCACTAAAATTTTTCTAAACGCATGCTGAGAATTCATTAGCAGCATGTCTTCCGTTGCTTGTTGTTAATTTCATTCAATAGATTGAATGAATTAAAATCAATGAGGCTAGCTATTTTTTTTTCTCCACCATTGCATCAGTCAAACGCAATATAACACTTTTGTTGTAGATGTCCCATTTTGATATCAACGATCTTATCACAACTTTGTAAAGAATACGTTTAAATGTTTAATGACAATTCTTCTCTTCTCATTTCCACATTTCATTTAATCTGACGTAAGCAAAAAAAAACTATCAACAAACTAGAGTTTTGAATCCGTTAAAATGTCATAGAAGATCGGTTTTTTTTCAAGATTATTAAATGATTTTCTTATTATTTAAAAAAAAATTGCCTGATGTCACTGAAAAGGTATGCTTTTTTTTAATGCTTTTTAAAGGTTTCAAAACTCTACTTTCTTCAAATGTGTTTATAAAAAAGTCTAACTTTTTGACGTTCTAGATGTCAGGTTAAACATCTTGGATAAAATTTAGCTTAATATGAAATTAGCAACATATGACATATAATGGATTCTAGTGAGTAGAACTAAATAAACAAGTTCTCTGATTAATTCATATTCATTGAAGTTCTATTTTTCACTATTATTTACTCTAATAAAACTTTGCTAGCATAAACTTAGTTGGATTTATAAAAAGTGAAATTATAACTTTTTTTGTTATCTATTTTGATGATCTTTGATAATATCACTATAATCATCATATAAGAACTATGATAATCATTGATAGGAGTAATAAATCTTGAAAATGAATAAACTTACTATATCAGATAAAACTTTTTATAGCAACTATCGCAGAAATTTTCTATAAAACTATGAATTCAACAAATAACTAAAGACTTTCATTAAAGAACAATAAATTCATTATTTGAGTTTTAAATTATTCTACTAAAACTATATTCATTTCTCTTTTGTATAAAATTTTTACTACACACTCACATATATACCTTCATTTGAATATGCTGAATAATAAAGAACAAATAAATGAAATGTTATTATTTGAATTGAAGCTGTTCAACTACATCAGCATTTTACATTTCTGATTCAGTATGATTTAATACAAATATCCAAAACGAAAATCTCCGAATTCGATTAAAATAACAATTACTTCTAACACTTTATCTTGTTCAGAAAAAAGACATCAAAAGAATCTATCGGCATCTGTAAGCACCTTTTATACATAATACAATACGGTTCATTGTCTTCAACAAAAAAAAAATATATTCCATCTCCGCAGGACATTAAATTCAATATGTTTATTCATTTCATTTTTGTTTCGTTTTCTTTTTGACACATCCTCTTCATATGAATGAAACAAGCCAATTGAACCCTAGATGCAGTTTGTTTGCATTATGTATTTTTTACAGACAATAATAAAAACACAAAAATATCACACATACTGTCAAATAAAACAAACGAAATCTAATCTCGTTTTTTTTTCTTCTTCTTCTTCTTCTTCTAGATCATTTTTAACCATTTCGATTGCATAGAAAACAAATCAAATGATGATGGACGTTTTTTTATCGAAAGATCAAGAGGACTATCTGACGATGATGATTTTGGAATAAGTTTTTTAAATATTCGTTGTCGTTTTGGTTTTAATCGAGGTATTGTTGGACATATTTCACCAAATTCAGATGTAATTTTATCAATTATTGATTGATCATTAATATTCGATTCAACAATATTATCAATTAAAAATGATGAATAATGTGGTGGAGATGGTGGAGTTAAAAGATTAACAATTGGCATTGAATTATTTGATATAATAGGTGATATAGATGTTGATGAAGATGGTGAATGAGGGGGTGTTGGAACTAATGGACATGTTGATAATGTTCGATTGATTGTTTCACGTCGAATTATTGTTGGAGAACATGAAGCAGCATTTTTTATAGGTGATGATGGAGATGAACATAAACAATGACCAAATGATGTTATAGTATTCATCATTGTAAAACGTAAAGGAATATATGATGATGATGATGAAGAAGATGATGAAAGATCTTTCAAACGAATAGAATCATTCAACAATCGATTATTTGAATCATAAATTGATACCTAACAAAAGAAAAAAAAAATAACAATAATCAATATTTTGATTAAATACGTGAATAAAATTCATTTTTATTTATACCTGTGTCATCGGTGAATGAGGTAAAACTTTTTCAATATATGAACGAAGAATACGAATAGGCATTGAACCTTGACATTCAAGATAACGACAAGCGAACTATAAAAGAATATTGAATAAATAAAACAAAGAAAAAAGAAAAAAGAACATACTTGAATAGTTGCATGATTACTAGTCGATGATTGTGGACAACTGAAAGAAATTTCTTTTGATATATTTTATCATAAAACGAAAACAGAATAATTTACTTTACCTGCATTTCGTATCTAATTCAATATAAACATTTTCTTCATTTTTTATATTTTCTATTAAATAAAAAACATATGGAATGAATGATATTACTAGGAGATAAAAAAAAATGTCTTACTTTTGTTAGGTTTTGCTCGTCGATTCTTCATGACGTGTTGTCCTGTCAGGGAGGAACGAGAGAGAACGTGGGTGTATGTGTGTATGTTTGTCAGTGAAGGAGAAGAAATGAATGAATGCAATGTGCGTGTGTGAGTGCGTGCGTGCGTCGTTCGCTTCTCTTTCTTCCTTTTTGCCCTTTCTTTTTCTTCTCAAGTGAGAACGATAGATAGAAACTAAAATGAAAGATTATATCGATGACCAATAGAAAACTCAATTCTCTACTTGTTTTATCCAATAAAACCACTGCAATTATTATTAGTGATGATGGTCTGTCTGTCCTGTCCTGTTTACTCTCGCTTCGTCTAATGCATATATATATGTGTTTGCCCGCTTCGTCTCGTCTCGTCTCGTACATTCAAGTGAGTAATGCGACGAGAAGAAAAAGAAGAAGAAGAAGAAGAGAACGAGAATAGAAAGAAATAACTCTATATTCACATATTTGATTAGGTCTATAGTGAGACAGAACAGAGAAAAAGATCGAGTGATGACAACGAATAAGCTTTGTATTTTGTTTTTTTCTGGCCTTTGGCCGAAGGAAATGACTAATGACGTCAATGTGCAACAGATGATGTTTCCTATTCGCCCGTTAGTTTTTCTTTTTTTTTTTTTTGTGTATGAGGACGATGATCATTCTTTTATCTTTTCTCGTCTATCAATTTAGAAAAAGAATCACAGAAGAGTGTGAAGAAACGGAAGATTGAAAGAGAGAAAAATTAATGTATGTCTCATGTAAATGTTAATTACATAGTAGGGACAGAGAGAGAAATTCTTTCATGCTGTTCATCTTCTATATGTATAAAAGAATAGATAGGAAGTTAACAAAAAAAAAAATTAAACATTCTCAGTCAGTGGTCTGATACAGAAGAGTATAGATAAAATTAATTGAATTATCTTTCAGTTGTATTTCTCATGATGAACCATAAAAATGAAAATATCAATCAATGTATTAGTATTCTAATGATACCATTGGTTTGATTTACTAATAAAAGGAAAAAAAGCTTAAGGCGATCATGTCTGTTTTTGCTCAGTTAATGGAGAGCAAGATGTCTATCAAATATAAATGCTATTTTTTCCAAGTGGTTTGTTCATGAGATGAAATCTATCTTTTCTAATGTTAAAAATATAAAAAAAAAAAAAGAACAGAAACAAAAATCAAACGGTGGATATATATATCTTGAGATATTGATAAATGACTTTGACTTGATAGTTTTAATGTGACATAGATGAATATGCATACAATTGACGAAGTCGTTTCAATGCTTCTTTTTTTATTTCATTTTCACATCATTTCACTATTAAGAGGGTCTATTGAAGCGAATACCGTGCAATCATCGCATGAAGATTGTATCTTAGTCGCGCGGCATGTATGCGTGCCAATCACCATGTGGCCTAGACATCTCGTTTGCATGAACCAATAAAAAGTAATGTTGACAGCATATCCCCTTGAGAATATATATATTCACACTAGAAGGTGTTCTCTGTTATCGTTATTGTCGACATTAATAAAATGTGATAGAATGAACAAATGAGTTTGCTTTTGTTACGGAAAAAAAAGAGATCAAAGACATTCTATATTTGCCGATCATACA